CCTGGGGAGGGAAGACTTTTTTCCTTAGCGTCTGCTGCTGATTCCTGTGCCTAAGAGAGGGATCTTGAAAAGTGAAGAACACATTTCTCTGTGTCATCAGTCTCCTTTACATGCTCCTTAGCCCTTGTGGAGCAATTCTGTGAAAATCACTTCCCCTTTCTGTCTCCTGTTGGATTACAGTGTCTCTCATGGCATGGCCCATTAGAGAAGAAAGAGAGTAGAGACATCCTCCCAATTTCTTTTCTCTCTGGCTCTCTGTTGTTGAGGGAGATAATCTACACTTAGCTCCTTTGTTCACCTCTCAAGTGTCTGCAGGACACTCACAATTTCTCACAATTGTTAAAAAGCTTTTAAATTTAGAAATTAATTTTAAAGAATTTTCTGTTTCATCACTTCCAAATTAACTCTGAAATATAATCAGTTGCACTGCTAAATGCATTTTCAGAATGATCGGGAAAGAGCGTGCACATGGTCCCCAGAAAAGTGCATGAGAATACCCTGGCAATTTTTTGTGCATGTCTTTGGGCATTGAAGATGCTCCAGCTGTTGTAGACCACAGCATTTTTTCATTGACCGACAAAGGCTAGCAAGAATAAATCACTGTAGTGCTTCCTTTCTTTTACCGCCTACCTACTGAACATAAGAGAAAGTCCAAGATCCTGGTATAGATATTCAAAAATGGACTAGACCTGGACTATCTCAAAGACAGATTTCCCTTCTAGCCGGGACCACCTAAGAAAGCTGTGATCCTCAGCCAAGATGGAGCGCTCAAAGCCAGGGTTGAAAATAGTGAAAACTGGAGACAGACAGCCTCTCAATGACTGATCCATTGCTGTGAGATTCCCTTTCACAAAATGATCACAACTCTTATCCACGTCAGGACAAATAGCAGTAAACCTTTCCTTGGCCATATTTTTCCTGTGGATCAGATCTCAGTGGTCTACATTCTACAAGTAATAAAGTTAAATCCTGATCCTGCAAAAGGGAGAGAGGAGACAGTTCAGATTTACCACAGATCTTTATTAGTAATAATATTATTTATTATTTGTATACCATAGGGCTAAGGAGTCCTAGTCATGGACCAGGAGTCCATTGTATTAGGAGCTGTACAAACACAGAACAAAAAGATGGTCCCTGCCCCCAAGGAGCTTACAATCTAAGTTTAAGACAAGAAGCTAAAGATAGATAGATATACATACACACACACACAGTGTGCAAGGAAACAATGAGACAATGTTGGTCAACACAATATCCAGTAGTCTCAGCACACCAGCAGCCAAATCATTGTCAATTTTTTGTAGGCATCGTGGCAAAGGAGAGTTTTGAGGAGAGATTTCAAGGTGGATAATGAGATAACTGCAGATGTTTATGGGGCGCGCCTCACCAGCGTGGGGGATAGCATGGGAGAAAGTACGAAGGTAGTTTGTTGGAAAATTTAAAAGAGGGCACTGGAGGCTGGCATCATGGGCTGATTGGAGACAAAGTCGACATGTCAATAGTGAACAGGAGATGATAGGCAGGGTGGTGATCAGCAGTGAAGGGCCTTGACAGTGAATAAAAACCGCTTATGATTAATGAGATAGATAAGGGGGAGCCAATAGAGGGATGCAAAGAGAGGGATGATGTGGTCAAAGTGATGAGCTAAAAAAATTATCTTTGCCGTAGCATTCTGAATGGGTATGAGAGGGACAAGATTGCATTTGTCAAGCCAAAAAGAAGGATGTTGCAGTAATTGAGGCATGAAATGATAGCCTGGATGAGAATTTTAGCTGCGTGGATGGATATGAAAGGCCATATCTTAGAGATGCTATGCAGAGAGAATAGGTAAGACTTAGACATTGCCTGGATGTGAGGACTTACAGAAAAGTCCAATTTGAACAAGATGCCTAGGTTACAGAGTGACAGACAGGATGGTGGTGTTGTCCACAGTGATCAAGAAAGGAGGTAGTGAAGAGGGCCTTCATCTTGGATTTATATAAAATTACTCCGTGTTTGAATATAAATGTAGGGAGAATATTGTCATTGAATTTTACCTTTGGTAATTGTAGAAGAAATCCAAACATAGGTTCTTAAAACCAAACAAGGTTGTAGCTATACTTACTATTTTAAATTTGCAAGCTGTTTGGTGCTTAGAATGATGTAATAAAGCTTCATTTAGTCTGTGTAGAACATATAAAAAATTTAATATACCTAAATACATTTTGATCAGACTTTAACATACCGTGTCCTGTTGCTTAGATGGAAAAGGAGATCTGTTGACTACAGTTATGAGAATTCTGTGATTGACGTCCTCACTATTTCTAGACAGAAGTTTTGGTCCAGTAAATTTTATAATAGTTTGAGCCTTGCAGAAGTTGTTGACCTCATTGAACGAGAGATCTTATTTCACACATCCTTTGGTTTTTTTCCCATTCAAAATGTTTTGATGGTGCCAAAGGAAACAAAATCACAACTTTTACTCTTGGGATAGTGAGCACTGGATTTAATGTTAGCTAGCTGCAATAGAAGGATAATGTTACTTAATAAGGAATGCTCACAAGAATGTGTAACACACGTCAAAAGGAAATGGGAATGTACATGTTTGGGAAAGAGTCTGACCGGTAAGTGTATTATCAGTGCTTGGTTTTGTTTGATTTTCAAACAGATATTTCATATTTTGCCTAGGGCTGTCAATTAATCGCAGTTAACTCACGTGATTAACTCAAAAAAAAGAATCACAATTTAAAAAAATATAACACTAGAATACCAATTGAAATTTATTAAATATTTTTGGATGTTTTTCGAAATTTTCAATATTGATTTCAATTACAACACAGAATACAAAGTGCACAGTGCTCACTTTATATTATTATTTTTTATTACAAATATATGTACTGTAAAAATGATAAAAGAGCATTTTTCAATTCACCTCATACAAGTACTGTAGTGCAATCACTTTATCGTGAAAGTGTAACTTACAAATGCAGATTTTTTGGTTACATAACTGCACTCAAAAACAAAACAGGAGATTGAGTCTAGATAAGTCTTCATACAGTATTCTGTAAGAACAAGATTACCCTTCTGTCCCATCCCAAGTTCTGACCTAAGGTAGTAACTGATTTTCACTTGATCCATTTACCAATTTTCTTCCTGAAACCACATTCCAATTAGGGAGAGGCCAGACTACACACACTCAATCTCCTTAAGGCATTATCATTCTATCTACATAGAACCAAGTCACCCTGAGACTGTTTGCTGCCTATGCAGATAGAGTGAAGGGCCAGAGACTTTCTAACTGGTTACAAGCTAGTCATTTTAGATTCCCCCAGTGCTGATTATAATTCACTCCACTAGGGGTCAGACAGCTTCTGTGGCTTCCTTGAGAGGCATACCTGTGTCAGGGTACATCTGCACAGAAGCTAGGAGACGAGTCCCAGCTCAGGTAGACATACACGTGTTAGCTTTGCTCAAGCTAGCACACAGTATGGCTGTGGCACCATGGGCAGCACCTCAGGCTAGCCACCCAAGTACAATCCTGTTCAACCCCTTTTGAGTACATACTCCGGTGGCTAGCCTAAGCCACTACCTGTGCCACCCTGGCCACACTGTTATTTTTAGTGCACTAGCTTGAGCAAAGCTAGCACATGTTCATTTACCTGAGCTAGGAATCACACATTCCAGCTGCTGGTAGACATACTCTCAGAAACATGGAGAGCAACTACATCAGGTTTGGTCCATGCTTTTACGAGACACTTCTTTGGTAGAAAGAAAAGGAGTACTTTGTGGCATCTTAGAGACTAACAAATTTATTTGAGCATAAGCTTTCGTGAGCTACAGCTCACCTCATCGCATTCATTCAGTGGAAAATACAGTGGTGAGATTTATACACACAGAGAACATGAAACAATGGGTGTTACCCATCTTTTTGCGGATACAGACTAACATGGCTGCTACTCTGAAACCTGCTCTTTGGTAGAGGCGCCCAAGTCTGGTGCTTCTTTTGACAGAGCTGCATTGCAATCTTTATTTAAATTTTCTCAGAGCACGCACTTCCTTATATCAGATCACTATTTATGTTTCACCAAGAATGGAATATATACAGACAAATACTTGAAGCAGAAGAAATGTTTACTCACCTTACAACAAATGTGGTTCTTTTAGATGTGTTGTCCAGATATAGAGCACAATCCACCCTCCTTCCCTGCTGCAATGGAGTCCTATAACATATAGATTTTGTATGGGCAAAGGAACTGAGTGGCAATTTGGTCTGCTCTGCCCTTTATGCCCCTCGGTGATGAGGACAGGAACAAACTTTTCTCTAAAACCACGTTCCCCCGCAATTTGGAGATCATGGTGTTAATGGGGCAGTCTCATGCCGTGGAACGCCGATTCTGGGCCTGGGAAACAAGGACAGAGTGGTGGGACCGCAGAGTGTTGCGGGTCCGGGATGATTCCCAGTGGCTCCGAAACTTTCACATGCATAAGGGCACTTTCATGGAATTTTGTGCTTTTCCCTGCCCTGAAGTGCAAGAATACCAAGATGAGAGCAGCCCTCACAGTTGAGAAGCGAGTGGCAATAGCCCTGTGGAAGCTTGCAATGCCAGACAGCTACCAGTCAGTCGGTAATCAATTTGGAGTGGGCAAATCTACAGTGGGGGTTGCTGTGATGCAAGTAGCCAATGCAATCACTGAGCTGCTGCTATCAAAGATAGTGACTCTGGGAAATGTGCAGGTCATAGTGGATGGCTTTGCTGCAATGGGATTCCGTAACTGTGGTGGGGCCATAGATGGAACCCATATCCCTATCTTGGCACCGGAGCACCAAGCCGGCAAGTACATAAAGGGGGGAGAGAAAACCTTTTGTAGTGGTAAACACCCATTTTTTCATGTTTTGTGTGTATAAAAAGATCTTCTGTATTTTCCACAGTATGCATCCGATGAAGTGAGCTGTAGCTCACGAAAGCTTATGCTCAAATAAATTGGTTAGTCTCTAAGGTGCCACAAGTACTCCTTTTCTTTTTATAAACCACAAGGGGTACTTTTCAATGGTGCTGCAAGCACTGGTGGATCACAAGGGACGTTTCACCAACATCAACATGGGATGGCCGGGAAAGGTTCATGACGCTCGCGTCTTCAGGAACTCTGGTCTGTTTAAACGGCTACAGGAGGGGATTTACTTCCCAGACCAGAAAATAACTGTTGGGGATGTTGAAATGCCAATAGTTATCCTTGGGGACCCAGCCTACCCCTTAATGCCCTGGCTCATGAAGCCATACACAGGCACCCTGGACAGTAGTCAGGAGCTGTTCAACTACAGGCTGAGCAAGTGCAGAATAGTGGTAGAATGTGCATTTGGACGTTTAAAGCGTCGCTGGCGCAGTTTACTGACTCGCTTAGACCTCAGCGAAACCAATATTCCCATTGTTATTGCTGCTTGTTGTGTGCTCCACAATCTCTGTGAGAGTAAGGGGGAGACGTTTATGGTGGGGTGGGAGGTTAAGGCAAATCGTCTGGCTGCTGAATATGCGCAGCCAGACACCAGGACAGTTAGAAGAGCACAGCAGGAAGTGGTGCGCATCAGAGAAGCTTTGAAAACCAGTTTCATGACTGGCAGGGTACTGTGTGACACTTCTGTTTGTTTCTCCTTGATGAAAACCCACCCCCTTGGTTGACTCTAATTCCCTGTAAGCCACCCGCCCTCCCGCCTTTGATCACAGCTTGCTTGCAAAGGAAATAAAGTCACTATTGTTTAAAAAACATGTATTCTTTATTAATTGATTATAAAAATAGGGAGATAACTCACAAGATAGCCCAGGTGGGCTGTGGGGGAAGGGTAGGAGGGAAGGAAAAGACCACTTTAAAACTTGTTGAATGCCAGCCTTCTGTTGCTTGGGCTGTCCACTGGGGTGGAGTGGTTGGGTGCCCAGAGCCTCCCACCCTCGTTCTTGGGTGAGGAGGCTATGGAACTTGGGGAGAAGGGAGGGCGGTTAAGCAGAGGCTGCAGCGGCAATCTGTGATCCTGCTGCCGTTCATAAACCTCCACCAGATGCCGGAGCACGTCCGTTTGATCCCGCAGTAGCTCCAGCCTTGCCTCATGCCTCCTCTGATCTTCCTGCTGCCACCTTTCCTCACGTTCATCCGTCACCGTCCTGTATTCTGCTATTGTTTCCCTCCACACAGCTCTGTCAGTGCCGGACGACTGCATGAGCTCAGAGAACATGTCATCACGCGTGCATTTTTTTCGCCGTCTTATCTGAGATAGCCTCTGGGATGGAGGAGGGAGGCTTGAAACATTTGCAGCTGCTGGAGGAAAAAAAGGGAGTGAAGTATTTAAAAAGATACATTTTACAGAAAAATGGCTATACTCTTTCATGGTGAACAATGCTATTCACATTACATAGCATATGAGATTTTGGTACAAGGTCGCATTTTGCATCTTATATTGCGTGCCTGCGGCTTTGGTGTTAGAGATCACACAATGCAGGGCCAGGCAACAGAATTCGGCTTGCAGGCGGCCATGGTAAGCCATAGTCTTTCGGCTTCTGGAACCTTTATAACAGCAGCCCTCTCCTTTCCCATACCAAGCAAAGCCCATTGAGTTGGCCATTTTTCCCGTTAACGTGCAGCAGCAGAAACCAAACTAATCCCCTCCCCCCATCCAATTCTCTGGGATGATCGTTTTTGCCCTCCCCCCACTGCCTGGCTGGTATCAGGGAAGATCCCTCTAGCCAAATGCGAACAGCTCAGCGCCAGTGGCCCCCCCTCCCACGCGTGGCTAACTGCGGGTAGGATTTCTTTTCAGCCACAGGCAAACATCTCAGTAGGAACGGGCACCTCTGAATGTCCCCTTAACCAAATTCCCCTATTTCAACCAGGTTACCATGAACCATATCACTCTCCCGAGGATAACACAGGGAGAGAAAGAATGGATGTTGCTTGAATGCCAGCAAACACCGGGACCATACGCTGCCAGGCTTTGTCATGCAATGATACCAGATTACTTGCCATTAGCATGGCGTGGTAAAGTGTCCTCCCATGGAGGACGGAATAAGGCTGCTCTCCCCAGAAACTTTCTGCAAAGGCTTTTAGAGTACCTCCAGGAGAGCTTCATGGAGATGTCCCTGGAAGATTTCCGCTCCATCCCCAGACACGTTAACAGACTTTTCCAGTAGCTGTACTGGCCATGAATGCATCCCAAGTCTTCAGGGCTACATAAGCATTAAAAAATACTTGCTTTTATAATGTGTATTATATTTAAAAAGGTACACTCACCAGAGGTCCCTTCTCCAGCTTCGTTGGGTTGGGAGGGTATTTCAGTCAGGGTGATAAAAAGATCCTGGCTGTTGGGGAAAACGGTGTGCTGTGTGCTCTCCCCAAGCTCCTCGTTCTCCTCATCTTCCCCATCTGCAAAATCCTCAGGCATGGGGGAGAGTATCCCATGCTCGGAGTCCACGGACAGGGGTGGGGTAGTGGTGGCAGTCCCCCCTAGGATTGCATGCAGCTCAGCATAGAAGCGGCATGTCTGGGGCTCTGTCCCGGAGCATCCGTTTGATTCTTTGGTTTTCTGGTACGCTTGTCTGAGCTCCTTAAGTTTCACGCGGCACTGTGTTGGGTCCCTGATGTAGCCTCTGTCCCTCATGGCCTCTGAGATTTTTTGAAATGTTTTGGCATTTCGTCTTTTGGAACATAGTTCTGTTAGCACGGATTCCTCTCCCCATCCCGTACCTCCCGTTCTGTCCATGCTGGAGCTCTTTTTCGATTCTGGGACTGCATGGTCACCTGTGCTGATGAGCTCGCCTGGCCAAACAGGAAATGAGATTCAAAAGTTCCCGGGGCTTTTCCTGTAGGCCTGACCAGTGCATCCAATTTCAGAGTGCTGTCCAGAGCAGTCACAATGGTGCACTGTGGGATAGCTCCCAGAGGCCAATACCTTCGAATTGCGTCCAAACTAACCCTAATTCGAAATGGCGATGTCGATTTCAGCGCTAATCCCCTTGTTGGGGAGGAGTACAGAAATTGGTTTTAAGAGCCCTTTATGCCGAAAAAACGGCTTCGTTATGTGGACGGGTGCAGGGTTAATTCGGATTTAATGCTGCTAAATCCGACATAAACTCGTAGTGTAGACGAGGCCTTTGAGACATAAGTTACACTGACAGAGCTTCTCCTGCCAACATAGCTACTGCTGCTCTTTAGAGGTGGTTTAATAAGTGGACAGGAGAGCTCCTCCTGTCAGCATAGAGCAGCTGCACGAGCTATCTTACAGCAGTACAGCTGTGCTGCTGTAAGCTCGCTCGTGTAGACATGGCCTTAGTCACGTGCAGGGACCAGGTATATACACAGTCCTTAGCTTTCAAGGATGAGGGATGAAATCTACACCCCAATAAAGTCAGTGGGGGTTTTGCCACATGTCCCCATGTATTTAAGTACATTTTGTACATTGTATTTACATATATAAGTATTTTGAAGTGCCATATGTACTTGTGCACAGTTACTTTGAACATGTTGTACTTGTATTTAAGCACATTTTAAAAAAGTTACTTATGCTTTAAATACCTTTATCTGCAAGTATTTTTTCAAAATAGTTTTTGAAACAATCACATCCCTCTCAACTGTCCCTGATTCTGGTTGGCCCCAGAACCCACAGTCTCAGGTTGGGAGCTGCAGCCTGAGTTCTGGCTTTCTTGGCTTTTTTCTGTTGGCCCTGCTGTTACACCAGCCAGGGAGAATGATGGTCCCACCCCTTCACTTCTGATAGATCACTGCAACTGACAATAGGGAGACTCGCAGCCCAGGCCCAGCCCAGCAGAAGTGAGAAGACACGATGCCCAGACCCAGCCCAGCAGCAGCAAAGAGACACATTGCCTGGTTCAGCCCTGCCACAGACTTCAGAAGGGCCAGGATTTTACCTGAGGCCTCTATGACTCAATGCCCAACTGTTAATAACACTGGCTAGCAGAGCACTGCCCGCATTACATAAATGATATGCTGCACCCTGTAAAGTGGCTGATTCCCCCTGTTGTCCAAGAGGCATTGTTTCTCAAGCAGGGACAACAAGCCAGATTTTCAAAGGTTTTTAGATAGGCATCTAGTGGGATTTTGGAAAGCATCTAAGCAAGTTTGGTATCTGACTCCCATTGAAACCAATGGGAAGTAGGTGCCTCACCTGCTTAGGCACTTCTGAAAATCCCAGTAGGTGCCTATCTGCATCTTTAGACACTTAAATGTTTTTGAAAATTTGATCCAGTGTCTCTAGGAGCTTCCTTTTGGGTGGTGGTACTCTGTGCCATCCTCTGCTACAGGCCTTTCAGGCACAGTTTTGCCTAGCTTGCATGAAAAGTGAAACCGTTCAATAGCATTCATTATCAATGACCTATAACTGGCACAGGAACACAAATCATATTAATTAAAATTTAGAGAATTCGAAGAATGATTCAAATGAATTTGTTAAGTTTCTTGTGTAATGTTTTGGCCATTGAAAATAAGACAGCAAAGTGTGTACATGATTATTTGAGATGCAGAACTGTAATTTTGGCCATTTCCTCCTGAATTGCAATGGCATTTTGAAGATATTGGTATTGGGTAATTGTGATAAAGTTTTTGAAAGTTATCCCTGTGTGCAATAACCTCCATGACATGATGCTGACAATGTGTGGTGTTCCTTGAGTACCTGGATACAAGTAAGCCATGTCAGAGATGTTCTTGAGATGTCTGCATGGCCTTGCTACTTCTAAAAGATTGAAAACATTTGTGCTACTATCTATGACTTCTGACAGCTTCTACAAAATCATGCAAAGAACTCCTGAGGATCTGAGAGAACTCTCACCCCACTAGCTAGAGTGGAGCTTTGGGCTGTCTGGGAGAAATAATTTTTTCCCCTGGGGTCAAGGAGGAAGTGTTCTCAACCGGGAGCAGCTGAAGCAGTGTTCACATACCGCCGCTCCTCCTCCCCCGTCTTGTATGTGAGAAGTTTTTTCCCTTCTGCAAAATATATGTATAGTTCTTCTCTTGTTTTATGATGTTATGATGTTGTTCAGACATGTTCCACAGTTAGATGTTAGAACTAAGAATACACTTGTTATTTAATTTCGCTAACGACATAGCTGGTTGGGTAATATAGAGCAAAACTTGCCCATGCTCAATATACATTGAAGTATTTAGAGGCATCAGAGAAGCAGTCGTAAGTCATTAATACTTCAGAGTCCAATTCTGTTCCTCTAAGTCAATGGAATTTTTGCCATTAATGACAGTCCTTTATGAAAATGTTATTTAAAAAAAAATTACTATATTTCTAGTGATATCCACCAATTCCCTTTCTACAGTTGGTCTCTGTATTAGAAGGAGTTGCCCTTTTTGAACATGTTTCCTAAACGGCTTAATTAGAATATGAAAAATAGCCAGTTATGAAAATGTAATATATAAAATACTCCTCCCTTTCTCTCCTATCACAGTATGTAAGAAAATGCATGAATTTACGTAAGGGACTTTTTACCACCTAAAATGATCAAATATTTCAAAAACCTTTTCTTATTTATACACCTTTAAAATTCCTGTTTCTGGCCCCAATCTATTAAATGAGATTTTCCATGCACTCATTTGCTTACAATTATTTTAACAATACACAAAGCTCTGTAATAAAAAGGCTTGTGTTTCTGGAACTTCTCCTGTGGGTAGATTTGTATGCTGAATATGTTTTTTACAGCTGCATTTTTAGCGAGAACTTCTCAACAGTTCTGAAAAACAACTTCAGTGTTCTTTTCCTTTTAAAAGTTGAATAGCAGTGTTTTGGTTTTTAATTTTTTTTAATATACTTTCCTCTTAAGTCTAGATCTTTTTAACAGTATGATATAGTCATCCTCTCCAAAAAATTTAAATTAAAAAAAAATCTCTGAAAATGTAGTTTGAGTCACTTACACGATGTTCTGTGGACAAAAAGTATTAGATACTACTGAGAAACCTAAAGGTTTCAATGCGTAGAAATGCAAAAATATTTTAATTATTAAATAAAGCTGTGAAAAGTAGAACATTGTATCAAAAAAGTTAATCTGTATGTCATACCTGTATGACCATACTTAACCAAGCAAAACAACCAAAGCAGTTGTTTTTACAAAAAGGCCACATACCACGCCAATTTTTACAAGCAATGCGTTATACATTATTTGGTTTGCATTCAGGCAGAATATAATTGTGTCTCATGTATAGTCATCTAACGTTATAAGAGAAAAATTAAAAGTAAATTAACAGGATTCTATCCTCTATAGAGTCTATAGATTAGTGGTTGTTTCATTTTAGAGAAAACAGAGTAATCTGCCTTGTGTATGTGCACTCTATTTTCTGTATATAATAGCGATTAATATTAAGTTTAAAAACAAAAAAACTCTTGGTCCTTGGCTATCTGTTTATGTATGAATCCTATATTTGTGTACATTAATTTACGTAGTGAATTTGCATAGTAAAAGTGGGAAATAATATCCATATGTTCATCTGCATCACCAGATCCGACTGCAGAATAATTTCAACTCCAGAGGAAGGGGTAAAAATCTGGATGTACATGTGTGACTTCAGACTCTTTTGTGTGCTGCCTACTACAACTCAGAGGCCTTTTTTAAAGGGCAACCTTGAATTAACCTGTTCCATCTTCTTTCATCCATTCAGAAAAAGAAAAGATCATTCAGGATCAGCAGCAGTATGTCTGGTAAAACAGAGTGGCAGTTTCTTAAAGTGTCCCTCAGAGGAGCAGGCCAATATATTATTGAAAATAATTATCTGAAAAATAAAAGGTGTCAGTCTTTTATCATCATTCCCTACTGCCATCATAAAAATGGCCATACTGGGTCAGACCAAATATCCATTTAGCCCAGTATCCTGTCTACCAACAATTGCCAAAGCCAGGTTCTTCAGAGGCAATGAACAGAACAGGTAATCATCAAGTGATCCATACACTATCACCCATTCCTAGCTTCTGGCTAACAGAGGCTAGGGACACCATCCCTGCTCATCCTGGCTAATAGCAATTGATGGACCTATCCTTCATGAATTTATCTAGTTCTTTTTTTGAACGCTGTTAATGTCTTGGCCTTCTCAGCATGCACTAGCAAGGAGTTCCACAGGTTGACTGTGCATTGTGTGAAGAAATACTTCCTTTTGTTTGTTTTAAACCTGCTACCTATTAATTTCATTTGGTGACTTCTAGTTCTTGTGTTCTGAAAGAGTAAATGATACTTCCTTACGTACTTTCTCCATACTAATCATGATTTTATAGACCTTTATCATATCTCCACTTAGTCTCTTTTTCAAGTCGACATGCTGTTAATAGAACTTGCAAAAGTCCCTTATTAAATTGCATATTTTTGCGTGCGTATGTGGGTATGTATATTTAACAGTATAAACTAAACAAATCAAACAGTCTTTAGGTGATATATCAACTGACACTGTTAGGAAAATAATAGTGTATGAATAGTGCTGAGACATCTTTTAACTAGGAGATCAACTGATCTGTGTATCAGATGGAAAATAAATAATGTCACCTCAGGTAAGAAAATGGGTTTTGCAATTAAAATATATGGTGTTTGTTATTTGATCTTCTGTGGTTTCAGAACAACACTGGAGTAGGATCTTATGCATGAAAATGCATATGGTGACAGCTCTCTTGTATTGATAAAATTGTTTTCAAGATGAAGATGTTCCAAATGTGAATCTTCAACCTCCTCCTCATCATCATCATTACTGTCGGCATCAACATTGTCATCATCGACAACAGATCTACAGATGCGTTCTGGAGGGACTGTCCTGTGAAATCATAAGATAAATTTTGGCTTAGTTACTAAAGTGTACTAGTAAGCACATTCCATACAAGTTGTTCATTTTAGAGATACTGACTAAGAAGGTTTTTTTTAAAAAGGTTTGGACTTGATCAGCAATGAAAAATAGTTATAAATTACCCCCAAAGTAGTTATTTTTATTTTTAGTTCTATACTGTACTTACTGTCCGTATTAATAGATATATGCTAATTGAAGGTTCAAGTAGACATAATTGATATTTAAAAAATGAGTTTGTCACAAATGATACTTTGTAACACAGTGTGAATGTTTCTTTTTGCATTGTTACTTAATATAATTACTTACCTTTTATTAAGAAATTCTTGGAATACATTAGTTATTAGATAAATTCTTGTCTTGACAACATGAACAAGATTCTTGGCCCATGAAGCTGCTTTGTGCTGTTCAGGCAATGCAAACCAGCTGAAAAAGTGCTCTAAAGGAGCACTTGAGGATTCCCCTGGCAAAGTTGACAGAAAGTTGGTGTAGCCACTTTGAGATCACCTGCTTCCCTGCTGCATAGGGAGTGTAACAGGGCTGGAGGAGATGTTTCTAGAAAGTGCTGCACTCTGGTAATCCTTGGTTGCATGAGCAGGAGTCTGCTCCACACAGCATAAATTAGACCAGCCCTTAGACTGCTACAAGTTATGTCGGCAGCTAGTTTGGGCCTCCGGTCAGCCTTAGTATCAGAAAAGCAGAAAGGTGACTTAAAGCCACCTTTTCCCCCACTTTCCTCTGCTGTGGCAAGCAGAGCACAGCTGTAGCTGGGGATTTGACCCCAAATCTTTAACAAGTTGAGTACTTGGAGAATACTGATACCTCAGAGTTGTACACTTTTTAAAAACAGTATTGAGAGATTTAAACCACACTTCTTTTTTGTATATGGTTTTGGAAAATATTGCAATAGGGAATTCAGGATTCAGTCCCTTCTAACAATATTTAAAATGTATGGTTTATGGAAAATGTAGAGTAGGAAGTTAATATATTTTAAAATCCCTTTTTATATTCTCAGTTAACACAGCAGAATTGGTAAATACCGTATTTTGTTGTTGTTCAGCCTCAGAAAGCTTAATGCCTTCATTTCTGTGATTCCAAATGGTACAAACTTCAATTCATTGTGATCCAAAAATAACTCTCTCAAAGACAGATAAGCTCCATAGAATGACACTGGATCTATTCCATCATTGTTAAGTTTGTTAAAAGAAAGGTAGAGATATTCCAGCCCTGGCTTCATGTGACCAAACACATATCCTGGTATTCTCTCAATCTGGTTTCCTATAAGTACGAGATGCAGTAAAGATTTTGGCAGATAGGAGGGAACGTGATATAACTTATTGTAAGAAAGATCAATAGATTCCAAATTCCTGCATTAAAGGAAACAAAAAGGGACATGTAAATAATACAGTATACTATATAGTTTACATTGGACTCCATACAAAATAACATTCAGTTGGTGGCAAGAAGTCCAGATGCTTAAGTATGGGAAAATATTTTTTCTGTGAGAGAGGTTTCTGTTAATAGAAAGAAATTCATTTTATGGTGTGTGGGCAGAGACATCATTATTTCAGGAAAAAAGATCAGAGTAGCAAAAATGTAAGTCATAACTTCTCATTCAAGAGCTATTCTTACGCTTTTGTTGAGAGGGGGAAAAATCTAGTAATATGAGTACAGAGATAGGAAACCCCAGGGACTAATTTGTGCTTGATAAGCATCTCAGATTTGCAATAGACTAGTATGCTAGAGAACACCATTTTTTCTTTACTGTTAACAGCTCTTTTCCCATAGCTCTTATCTAGATGGTTTGCATTTTTTATGACTAATACTCGTTGGCCAGGGTGGCACTAAAATGGGCCTTATCCAACAACCCTTACACACGTGAGTAGTCCCATTTGCTTCACTTAATTCAGTGTCCCATTGACACTGAGATAAAGTTTGATTTTAAATTTGTCTTCAGTGGGACTGCTTATATGACTAAGTGCTGCAGGATCAGACCTAAGTACCTAAAGATAAGCATCTTTTCTTCAAAAAGTAATATCACCCAGTTACTGTATATCTTTCATGTATTGTCGTGACCCTGTCTGTTAACTCTTACTACTTCTTGTGATTTCTGTTTCTTTTTAAAGGTAAGGTAGGGGATGCAGGTGAGCAGAAAATAGCAACCCAGGTTCAGACAGAACTTTATTGTCAGAGATGAGGAGAGGAAAAGTTCTATTTTAATCACCATTTTTAATGTGGATTGACTGATGTGATCAACACCTGTGATTATTTAGCTAATAAGGAATTTGGCTAGGAAGATATGAGATGTACAGTATTTCTTTGTAATACACTGTTTCTTTTTTATTATTGGTATTAATTTTGACTCTGAACAAAACATAATATTTAGCCTTGAGATCAGGGTAGATAAAAAAATGATATTGGATTTTTTTATTCACATTAAGTACAGGTTTATTTTTTAAAAATAAATCTACTGAAAATTAAATTTGAAATTGACAACTTATGTTAATGCCAGGGCTGTCAATTGATTAAAAAAATTAATCTTAAAAAAAGTAATCACGATTAATCGCACTGGTAAACAATAATAGAAAACCAGCATGGAAGTATGTCCTCTTGAATGGTGGCCGAAGAATGAAGGGGCATCTGAATGTTTAGCATATCTGACACGTAAATACCTTGCAATGCCGGCTACAAAAGTGCCATGTGAAGCCTGTTCTCACTTTCAGGTGACATTGTAAACAAGAAGGGGCAGCATTATCGCCCGCAAATTTTAACCAAACTTGTGTGTCTGAGCGATTGGCTGAAGTAGGATTGAGTGGACTTTTAGGCTCTAAAGTTTGACATTGTTTGGGTTTTTTTGAATGGAGTTTTTTTGTACATAATTCTACATTTGTAAGTTCAACTTTCATGATAAAGAGAGTGCACTACAGTACTTGTATTAGGTGAATTGAAAAATACTATTTCTTTTGTTTTTTTACAGTGCAAATATTTGTAATCAAAAATAAATATAAAGTGAGCACTGTACACTTTGTATTCTGTGTTGTAATTGAAATCAATATATTTGAAAATGTAGAAAACATCCAAAAATATTTAATACATTTCAATTGGTATTCTATTTTTTAACAGCTTCTGACAGCAGTAGCCTCTTCAGCAGGTGGAGAGAGAATATTTTCTTCATTTCAGTTTCTTCAACTAATTCAGTTCAATGACTAATTCATTCAAAGTTAAGAAGCCAATTGGCAATTAAAAAAGCAGGAAAGATTGTTTTCTCTTCCAGTCTATGAATGTGAGAGGATGAGATCTACTAGTTTTCTCTTCCAGTCTCACTAGATGTGAGAGGATGAGATCTACTAGTTCTAAAATCTTGAAGGACATGGTGACCAGAAACAATCAGTTCATTTAATTATCTACACATAACATTTGCTTTGTTTAATAAATCAGTTAGTTTTAAATACTATAAAAAAGTTTTGGTAAATGTTTTTGTCTTATGTATTCTTCACTTTTAAGATAGTTTTATTTAATTAAGGAAAGTAAAATGCTATTTTTGCATTTTAATTGAATTTTAACTTCTATCCAAACAGAAATTGACACAAACTACAATTTAAAAAATTAATCACAGTCTATTAAATAAGAAATGCATTATTTGCCATTTTCTAGCATAATGAAAAATATTAAAATTAAGAATCTGATTAAATATAAGATAATCCTATATAAAAGTGTGTAGATATAGTGTATCCTCCTGCTGAGCCCCGAAAAAGCACTTAATTTAGTGTAAAGTGTATATTTAGTTGCAAATCAACATATATTAATGGTTACCAATCAATGAGAATCCATCTTTCTTTAAAAAAAAAAAAAAACCTAAAAAGTACAAATGCAAAACATGATTCAAATAAGATTAGTAAAAACCAAAGTGTCCAGAATGCTGCAGATTGCTGATTTACATCATGATTAAAATTGGTGATTTAAATAGCTTTGATTTAAATCAATCCACCTTACTTGAGATTTAATTAAATGTTCTCTTGGTTTCTGAGTGGAACTGACCCATGATATCACAATGTTATTTTAAAAGTTATATTATATATTACTTAGATTGTGATAAATTATAATGTGGATAGAAAGGTAATTGAATTTGTTAATGTAAGGGTGATATTATCATGGTATCCATGGATTTTTAAAACAGAGCTTATATATATATATTTTTTGTGGGTATAGGAGGAGCCTCGTTACACGGTACAAATATTACTTTCACAGTAGGGTTTTCTAGTAGTACTGGATAACAAAACAATTAAATCTTAAATTGGTACTTACTCTTGATTAATCCAAGCCAAAGGCGCTATCCTATTTTC